TTTAATTAGCTTAAAACAATCAGCAACTTTTCCGTATCATCGTATGACAAATTTTGTAATCATGCGTTGCCATGGCCAGTATCTGCAGTACTTCGTCTCACCATACTATAATTGGTGCCATTACGTGAAATAAATATGTATAAAATATGTATGTCCGAATTACATTTTTACAATCTGCCATTTTTAATGGATAAATGTACAAAATTGCATTGACTTGATCAAATGCATTTTATACATTTTCAATAAATGCATTTTCTCTCTTTCTTTTTCATTAAAGTCCTCTTCTGGAAACGCGCCTCCTTTTTTTTCTTTTTTTTATAGAATAAGGGTGACAAACGTACATACAGTCCACCTGATAAGTGGTAAGTGGATGCTGTGGCCCAAACATATCAACATTTATCCTCGATTAAGAATCAAAATGCAGATGCATTGTCACCTTTAAGGACTAACATGGAATGACCCGTTTCCAGTAAAAGAGTCTCCGGTTCTTTACACTCACCATAAGAAACACAGCAGCATTAACCTGCTATTTTACGCTGTTATTCTGTGAGAGCGTGGTCCTACCCCTGTCGAGTCGACCCATTAGTGCTACAAACATAATATATCTGCAGCATATCTCTACCAATTTTTAAGAGGTAGAGCATCTTCCGTGGTGGGGATTTGTTTAATCGTCACGTTTGGCAGGCAGATTGATGATGCTAATACCAGATGCCTTTGACGATGCTGCCCATAAACAGTCAGGATATGTTAACCTGGCATAAATGGGATGGCTATAAATGATATCCATCGGAAGCTATAAGAATTTCTTAGCATTTTCGATAGACATTGACTTACGCATTTGAATTACGACACCCGCGGGACAAAGTGTGGTATTGGGTTCTCTTAAACCTCTACACGGCACTCTGGTGTCTCTTTAAAACATAGACCTTATTATAATGGCCACATTTTTTTAATTTTTCAACTGTCAAAAGCTATGTTTATTTAAGTTATTTAATTTAGTGGAAGGAAAATGCTTTTAAGTAGGCTTAGTATGAAGTACTAACTACTTATTGTAGTAAGTACTTCAAACTAGAATATTGTGATTTAATTACGAGTATTAATACATGTTTCTTTAAGCCGACTCTCTAGCGTAGATAAACCCCTAGAGGTTTATATGCTAGCATTGTACTGGAAAATGTAACATAATTATGCTTACTAAATTGAAAAAAAAATGATTATGTTTCAGGGAAAGATGCAGGGTACAGCACATGTCAAGTCAATATAAAGCTATGGAATATAAAGACTTTTGAGTGCTGTAGATATCTATTTAGATTTTTAATGAATATCTATGCTCAGCTACATTCAAAGCCGGTGTGCCGTACTGGAACAGATTATTAATATATTATGTTTTTTGTTTCCCTTTTTTTTTCGTATATAATAACAAGTACAAGGAAACACAATTTCGAAGATATTATTTTTTCTATTTTTCTATTAAATTCATTGGGTTAGCGATCAACTGTTTTCATTCTGAATGCATCCATAATCTTGCGGGTTATGGTTCTCTGTGCGACACAAGCGCCACATCGATTGGCGGCAATTGTGAACAATCTAACCAAAACCGCCGCCGACGCGCGCGCATACAAATAATTTCGTGTTACTTAAGCTCATCTCTCAAGATCTCTTTCACCTGGAAGTGTTGTACGTCTAACCTATGGACTCTTGTGCGATACACTCTGCTGAACTTTGATACTACTATCATTGCAACGACTGCCCCGAGCTCCTTTAGCCAGCCCCTGGATTCGTGGTTGCAGGGAGATTGTAGCGGTAAGTCGCTAAAACCAGTAGAATATCGTACAGCCGAATTTCCTAGAGTGTCAAAATTGTACCGACGGTAGTTTTTTTTTTATAGGAGAGGGGGCAAACGAGCATGCGGCTCACCTGATGGTAAGTGACTACCACCGCCCATGAACAACTGCAACACCAGCGGAATGGCAGATGCGTTGCCGACCTTTTAAAAAGGAGTAGGCTCTTTTCTTGAAGGTCCCTAAGTCGTAACGGTCCGGAAAAATCGCTGGTGGTAATCGATTCCACAAGGAAGTTGTGCGAGGGAGATAACTTCTTCTAAATCGCACAGTGGTGGACCGCCAATCATCCAGATAGTATGGATGGTATCGCGAGTTTTGTCGCGATGTGCGATCGTATAATTGAGCGGGTGGAATTAGTCCGAACAATTCCTCAGAGCACTCCCCGTGATAGATGCGATAAAATACGCAAAGAGATGCAACATCTCCACGCAGTGCCAGTGAGTCAAGCCGAGCGGAAAGAACTCTGTCGTCGACGATTCCAACCGCTCTGCGCTGGATGCGGTCAAGTGGAAGGAGCTGGCACTGAGGTTGTTTAAAGGTAAAAGGGGATTAAATATACATATTAAACGATGTCATAGTAAAAGTATTTTGGCTTCACAACCTACCATAGAAATTCATAACTCTATTAGTAATTCCTCTAATGACACAAATTTATCCCTTTTTTCGGAGCAAATTTAGAATTATCATCGCAATGCACCAGTGGTTAAAGGAATTCCTAGAGGTGCGAGGATACAGCTTGCTAAAGCATTGTCATGCACTATTCAAAATTGTTTCACTAATCGTCGCCTCAGTGCTTGTTATGTTAACAGACCATTTGGGTAAAATTTTTACAGGAGCAATGTTTGTTTGTTTTTCTATGTTATGACTCAAATAAAGCCGTAATGTTCGGTAGTTTCCAAAATTGTGGCACATCTGGGCTTCTAATAATCCATAAAAAAAATAAAAAACTTTACCCTTACCCCTTAGTATTATGTAAAACCGGTTTCAAAATGGATATTGGACAAAAAACGAAACTATAATTACGTTAATGGATATACACTACATTCCTTGGGATGTTAGCCAAATAGCAACCAAAAGTATTTTGTGCTTGTTTGTCCTATGGCCTCGCTTCACAATACCGATTGTGAAATTAAACAAATCTACTGCGAATCATAAATACCTACAAACCTAACCTTAACCAAACCGAACAAACAAACAAATGCGTAGTTCTTGTGGGAAATTTTTAATAGAATAGATAAAGATTGTAAATATGAAAACTGCTGACACAAAGTAATAAAATAAAGTTGTAGGTATGTAAATATTAAAAATAAAACAAATAATTGAACTGAAAATTATTTATTCAAAAATAAAATCACTTGTTAGGTTTATATATAAATCGTTGTTTACCGTTTGATGTTTATCGTTTAGGTTTAGATTGAAGAAAGAAAAAAAAAAGATTACACTTTTATAATACCTATGCGATAGTGGAGCTTGTAATAAGGTCCACCTCCACTATTTTCTTCATAGTCGATGTCCCTAGCATTTATTTTATCTTTTCTGATTTTCCAGTCTTTCCATCTTTTCCTTTATCTTTAAGTGAAAATCCCGTCTTAATCGGTCCAGCCTGTCCAGAAATTCGCTCGTTTGCGAAAAAACGAACAAACTCTTCAGCGTTGTATGACAGTATGACAAAAGTATGGTTCTAAAGTTTAGAATGGTTTAGAATCTAAACCATTCTGTATAACAAACACAAAATAACCTAAAATAATACTACAATGATTAAAATCAACTTGAATTTCGTAGTATACAGTACTGCGGATATACCGTTTATCACAACTGGTCCAGGACATAATTTTCAAAGTTATAGATTCACTTTCCACCTCGTTTTACTCGTAAATTCATCGAAAAGCTTAATAAATCTCGCAGTTCTAACGCCGTTTTGCGTCGCGATAGATTGTAACTAAACAATATGGCGGATCAGCAAGGTGTGACGTCATGAGCGAGCGGGCCTGTGATTGGTTGATTTGTGGATATACGGCAAACAAGCACGCAGTGAGAATTACGCTATTGGAATGTTGGTTCATTTGTGGTGGTAAGCCATACGAGCACGAAAATTAAAATTGTAACTGTGGTATTATTGGTTTTTTAACATCGTCTTTTACTAGTTTATTGGTATAGTTACACGAGTCATTCTTGATTTAGACTGTGTGGAAATTGATTATTACATTCAAAGGTCATTTTCGTCTAAATTGGTTTGTTGGCCAAACAAGCACGAGGCGACTTAATAGTGAAAAGAGTAGGCAAAAATTATTTACTTTCGCGTATTCCCATTTTCATTTTGATACAAGAATAAATAAATCAATTACGTCTCAACTAAAAGAGACATCTTTTCAAAATTTAGATTACCCAATGAATACTAATTTATATCGATCTCGACCTAAATTTGATTTAAAAAAATAGTTGAGTCGAAAGTAATGGATGGCGACTTAAAAAATGCATCCCGTATTTTATTCTCAAACGACATCCTGAATCCTCGTAGTATCGAAACTCTTGAAGGCCTTCGTCAAAAGCATCCTTCGGTCAATCCTTCTCAAAGTTAACTGTTGATTCCCAAGACTTCAATGCACCCTTTCCAATTTTCTGAAAAAAAAAAAACACTAGAAGCAATTGTCATTTTCGAATGGCTCTGCTGGCGGCATTGACAGAATTACGCCTCAACATCTTAAAGATTTTGTAAGCACTTCTGCCGGTGACGCCGGTGGAGTACTACTTATGCCCAATTTCACCGACATCCCCTAAACAATCACATAGTTAGACGACCGCTAAGCTAAAAGGTCCCCTAAACCAACCCATAACTAAAATTTGTTTTCACGAACGCAACGGACTTATAGCTAGGGGACCCTTCCTTATGTGACCGATTTTTTACGACGATAGTGCTTGATACCCAGTTGTAGTTACCGGTTTTATCGGAAATGATATATATTAATACAAAAAATACGTATTCATGTATTATTTTAATGAAGAAATTAGTTCTTTCATATTTTGACTGATATATGTTTTCATTTTGTTAATATTTTAATAAAAATATCATATTTTTAGTTTATGTTTGACAAGTCACCGTATTTGACACTCAGCTTTATCTGTGCATTGACTGTTTGACATTTGTCTCTGCAAGTCACAGCTGCAAGTTTTCGTGGTGTTTCCTTTGGTATCTCGTTTCTAACTTTTTATTTTATAATTATGGCCGAAAATAAGAGAAAGCGGTGTCAAAATTTCACGTTTGATGAAAAGGATAAACTTGTAAAGTTAATGAATACTTTTAAAAATGTTATATTAAATAAAAAGACGGACGGTACAACAAATCAAGCGAAGAATGAAGCGTGGGTGAATTTGTGCACAAGATTTAATTCCACAGGAACCACGGCTAGGTAAGTTATTGATAAACAGTTATTGATAAAAATAAACCTTTTGTTTAGTACTTGTTATAGTTGTTTTAAAGTTAAGTTGCCTTTACATCCAAACTTTATAGCTGTAAATAGTTATTGTCATAATTATTATCTTGATTTTGTATAATATGCAATGTGTGTATTAAAGAGTTTCTATTTACTTACTTGAATGAGAAGTTACCTACCTAATACCTGTATTCTCAGTACATTAACCTCTTTATCTACTATGATGAACGTACTGAATTGCCTTTTAATAACCTACCACTAACATTTCAGAAGTAAAGAATCTCTTATGAGAGTCTGGGAGAAAATGAAGACTGATGCGAAGTTATACAAAGCACTTAGCAAAAGCAGTCACAATGGCACAGGAGGTGGCCCATCGTGTGTTAAAACAGATATAATTTTGGAACAAGTCAGTGACTTGATGGGCCGAGCATGTACAGGCATAACTGATGTCCAGGATTCAGATGCTGACCAAATTACTGAAGCCAGTTCATTACCAATACTTGGTGATGAGACAATGGAAATTTTAATATTTCAAAATGAAAATGTTAGTATTTATAGAATTCTCTATTATGTAGGTATATTAAAATTAGAAACTGACTGACAAATAGTCCAAATGCCGTAGTAGAAATCAGGGCAATAAGTTTGTTACATATTATAATATTATATAAAAGTAAGTTATGTATATTATTGTGTTTGTTTAAGGAGATGCTTTTGTTCCTACCAGTGGTTCAATAGAGGGCTAGACAGAGAAACACTACGAGGCGACAACGACAAAATGAACTAAACTGGCAGAATTTTCAATACAAAATTATTTCACTCATTTGTATAGGTGTCGACCCACTGTATGATTATATTATATTTACACTGTGATTTTTATATTAGAATTTGTTTTGTTACAATTTTAGTGCAATACAAGAAATGTGGAAAATATTGAAAATAACGATGTTGGGAATAATAATGACATTGCTCCAACACTGTCATCACCAACATCGTCTCAATTTATAAAGTCCACACCTATATGGAAAAGACGACGACCAATAATTAAAGAAAATAAGGATAAAGCTGAAGTTGTTTCAACGTTATGTGGAGGTTTTAAAGATTTGAATTCTAAAAAGGCTACTGTGGAAGATTTAAAAATTAAAATGTTAGAAGAAGAAATAAAATTTAAAAGAGAATTGTACCAGCTGCAGTTAGAAACAGCTAGAAAGGAATTGGAAATTAAAACTGAAGTATGCAACCAATTAAAAGGTATGTGTTTTATTTATTGGTGAAATTACTATATATATTTTACATAATAAATTAGATATTTATAAATTATCAAAATATTGTGTAATTTGATTTCTGCGAAATCCATATGACAAAGAAGGTCTGTCAGAAAATGCCATATTATTTATTTGTCCCCTTGCAATTAGCTCTTCCAGGTTAGGCACATCATCATTATTCACAGGCTGTTGCTCATTTCTTAATATGCATATATTATGCAAGATACAGCAAGCTATAATGACATTAATGGCATTGTTTAAAGCTAAACGAATTCCAACCGCAAGTACTGGAAACCTTCGTTTTAGCACACCATATTGCCGTTCCACCACATTTCGTGTTCTAATGTGGGCCTCATTATATTTTCGTTCTCCACTTGTTGTAGGGTTGAGATAAGGTGTCAAGAGATGAGGCTAAAACAAAAATATTTTTAAGTATTATTGTATATAATAATGTAATTTATATGATGTAAAATATTTCTTTTCTATTCCAGGTCACACCTTAAACTTTCAAAATGTATCAGGAATACCTAAAAATGGTTCTGCAAATAACTAGTTTAAGTGTACTTTTTAATTAATTAAATATCCCTTACCCATGCATAATCTTTTTATTAAATAAAAAGTATTTATTTAATCAATATTTTGAGCTCTGTGATGAATGATGTTATTCTTTTTGTTTGTAATTTTTGTAATTCTTTTTGTAACCTACTTAAGTTTTAATCAATATTATATTATTATTCTCCTTATTTTTTCTTTTACCTTTAAGGGATAGCCACTATCCCCAAGTAAATGGCTGTCTCCATACTCCCCTCTTTCAAACTTTCTATAAATATAGCTATTTTGGTAAATTGCTGAGTCATGTGTAGAGCCTGGCCAGCGTGCAACAACATCCTGGACCAACAACTTTGCTGATGCAATTGTTTGGACATTTATGGACATGTAGCCTTTCCTGTTTCTAAATAGTTCAGCATCATCTCCACCTATAGATATAAATAATACTTCATCAGCATTGCTTGATAGACTACTAAGAGAAATGAACTTTTAGTGAAAGGTAGTTAAATAAAAATGAGGAATTTACCTGGTGACTGAATTTTTACATGTGTGCAATCAATACAGCCTAGTACATTAGGGAATCTAGCTATATCATAGAAGTCTATCTTAACTCTGTCTTGGTCTCTGTTTGTATCAGGAAATATAATGAATTCTCGACGTAGGGAAACAATTGCTTGAGACACTCTCTTTACTATCCGGCTGGATGTAGCCAAACTAGTACCACCCATATCAGCCACAGCAAGCAAGTGATTGCCTGTGGCATAATATCTTAAAGCTATTAATAATTGATTTATGGGTGGTATGGAATTGTTCCTGTAAAAAATATAAACAACTACAAATTAAAATAGGTAGAAACATAAGTAAGATATACCTCGGGTATCAATTTACCATGGTAGGTAGGTTAGCACCAAACAGGTACCTACGGCCTACCTATACAGGCTCATTTTCTATTCAAAAGTTACTGTTAGGAGAGCAATAAAGTAACCTTTTATGCTTTTACCTTTATTTCGTAGCTAGGTATAATAGGTAATAAGTGAAAATGTAGGAACCCAGGAACCCACACTTTAACTTAAATATTTAATAAACTACAGTTTTAATAACATTATAGACTATTGTACATACATTGAAATTGATAACATATGTAAATAGTTAGGTACTCACCTATTATCAGGAAATTCCAAAATATGTTCAATTTTTTCCAACAAATATATCACTGTTGATTTAGATAACCTATATCTTCGGAAAAAATCTATTTCATCGAAATCGTTGAAATAATTTGGTCGTTTTCGATATATTTTAGGTCTTCGACTACGATTTATATCAAATATAGTATCAGTTGTGTCTAAATTATCAAGAAAATCAAATAGATCACGGTCCATCTTGTCCTCTAAAAGTCGCTTTTACTTATGTGAAGGTTTATGGGACCAATAATCCATCTCATAAATTTAGGGGATCGTTTAGTCAGTAACGGACCCTTTAAAAGTGGTGAAACGGAAACTATCCCCTAACTGGCCGCTAAATATGCTAAGGGGTCCCATAAATCTTACGGGTCGTTGGTGAAAGTGGGCATTAATGACATTACAAAATTATGTAACTTTATGCTTTCTGGTAATGTCAATAAAAATTTCATTCCATTCTTATATAGGGCAAGATTATGTGCCTTCAAAAAAACGGATAACGGTATCCGTCTTATTGCCGTTGGTTCCACATTTCGCTTGCAGGCACATAATCTCTAACCTTAAGACAAATTTCAGCCTATTCAACTGGGCTTTGGCACTAGAGGTGGCTGTGAGGCAGCGGTATATTCAGTGCGTACATTTTTAACTCTGATGCAGATGTTCTTGTGAAGGTTGACTTAAGGAATGCTTTTAACTCTATCGAAAGGGTAACCGTGCTGAAAGAAGTGGCTAGCAATACCCCCGCAATTTATCATTACGTTTGGCAATGTTACAGTCAAAATACTAACTTGTTTTACGAAAACCTATTAGGTATCGATTCTGCTGTCGGTGTTCAGCAGGGTGATCCTTTAGGTCCAGGACTTTTCAGTTTGGGAATTTAGCCCATTATTTCAAATTTGAAATCCAAGCTGAATGTCTGGTACCTGGACGACGGTACATTGGGAGGTAGAACAGATGACTTCCTTAGTGATTTTACTCATATTTTTCAAAATTTTAAAAATGTTTGTCGTGAACCAAATAGCAATAAATGTGAATTTTTTTTCAATAATTTATTTAATTCTAACAGAGACACTTTAATGCAAAATTTCAGTCCTATTTCTCCAGGAATAAAAACTGCCAGAACGGAATCACTATACCTGCTAGGTGTCACCGTTGTTTTTCGATAGTATTAAACCTGTTTTAAAAACAAAATTTGATCAGTTTTAAACCACGTTGATAAATTGTGTAAATTAAACCCCCAAATTGCTCTTACTATTTTAAAATATTGTCTTCTTGTACCTAGATTTACATACTTACTCCACTCAAGTCCAGTCTGAAAATGTTCGGATGTTTTAAAAGATATTGTTAATAATATTTAATTAGCTATAGAAAAAAAATTAAAATTAACTTTAAATACAACAGCCTGGACTACCTATAAAATTTGATGGTATTTGTGTGAGAAATCTTTCTAGCGTTGCATTGCCTCTTACTTTGATTTCGTGGATAGTGTCAGTGACATATGTGACATAATTTTAAATAATAAAGTAGACCTGTGCTTTGCTACGGAGGCAGGGCAGACAAGGCGAACACTCTGTCCCGGCAACAATGATACACTGGAAAGTAACTAACAAAAACAGTGGGATATTCCGTTAGTACAGAGCGTGCAGAAAGATTTTTTTCATGATTTCTATAGTGACTAAGATTAGGCATGCCTTCTAGCTGTTTCGACTAAGGCATCTTGTCACTGGTTACACGCTTTACCATCAAGTATATTCGGCACATTACTTGATGGGGAAAGCTTGCGCATCACCGTAGGAATCCAACTAGCAGCGGCAATTTGTCAACCCCATCAGTGGCCCTGTGGTAGCAGCGTCGACAAGTTAGGTCTCCACGGACTTTTATGTAAGAAAAGTGCTGGTAGGTTTTTGCAGCACTGTTCTTTGAACGATGTCTTCCGAAGGGCTCTTTTCTCTATAAATGTTACCTCAGGCTTAGAGCCTTGTGGAATATTTAGAGACGATGGCAAGAGACCCGACGGTATGACATTTGTCCCTTGGGAGAGAAGTAAAGCCCTAGTGTGGGATGCTACTTGCGTAAACACTTTGGCAGCCTCTTATCTCAAGAGTACCTCGTTTAAAGCCGGGGCGGAATCAGAGGCAGCTGAAATACGTAAGTGGCGCAAATATGAGTCTCTGAGAGATGACTACATATTTGTGCCATTTGCTGTAGAGACTATCGGTCCGTGGGGTCCACGTGCGGTGAAGTTCCTATAGGAACTCTATCCGTGACTGGTCGTTGCTACTGGTGATAAGAGGGCTGATTCTTTTCTCGCTCAAAGGCTAAGTATAGCCATTCAGCGGGGAAACGCAGCCAGCGTTCTTGGCACGATACCGCGGGGAGTAGGACTATGATAGGTAATTTACTAGTTTTAGGTTTTTTTAATTATACTTTTTAATATTTTAAATAAAAAAATATTGTATATTATGTTATTTAAAATTGATATATAATTTTTGTACGTACGGTAGAGCCACGCTGTAACTTCGAGTGGTTCTCAATACTCACCATACGAAACATAGCAGCATTAAGCTGCTATTTTACGCTGGTATTCTGTGAGAACGTGGTCTTTTCCTGGTCGAGCCGATTCGTGATACAACTATACCAGTAATATGGCTGCAGCATGGCTCTACCACATAAACCCTTATTTTATTAAAAAATACGTACATTACATGTTTTAATTCCTCTCTCTCCTTTCCACCATCTGACAACCAGGCGGTCGGTGGTGTTCATCCTTTGTTGTCGATATTCCACGTGTTAGAACCAAACGGTTTGCTTCATCTTTCGTAATACGTAAGCAAGGGTTTGGAATAATTTGCCGGCGTTTGTCTTTCTGTATGATTATAAGATGGGCATCTTCAAGGCAAGAGTGAATAGGCTTTTTTAGGCTAAGACAGTGTGATTTACCATCATAATTCATCTCTTACTACCAGGTGGGATTGTGGTCAAGCATTGACTTATAATAAGTAAAAAAAATGCAAACACGTACACAAAAACGCATGCAGACGCACACGTAATTACATAATTGTGGATACCTTACTGGTGTATGTACTTAAATTATATGTGTAATATTTCACTGTTTTTATTCTAAATATTAAATAAATTAATAAATAATATATTCAATAATTTCAAGCAACCTGCAATTAGGTATAGAGCTTTACAAATTAGGGAAGATTAGTGGCCCCCGACAGATGGCGACATAACAATCTCCAAAAGTACCTACTTTCATATTACCTTTTCAGGGTTGGCGAATAACCCTGTTGCCCTGTTGGCTGAGGTCGGCGCATGACGTCTCATCTGAACTGTACTAATACAAAATAAATACAGTTTAAATTCCCTTTGGCGCTATTTCCAATACAGTATAGATTAACCTCAGGAATAAAATATAAAATTACATTCTAACCTTGATTTAAATATTTGTAGGATTAACATACAACTCAGTGATTATAATAGATTATTGTAATAATATCTGTATTTGAAATGCGCTACGAGTATGAATTGCTTGAGAAATTTAACCACATTCATTACTTTATTTATGGGTTCCGCAAATATTCCAAATTGGTGATTCTCGATTGGTGAGCCTCGTTGGTTAACAAGGTGCATCGGACACAGGTGAAATTGGCATATAAAGTGGAGATGATCGATGTTACAAAAACTTAAGAAATGGATTTTGACATCGCTCAAAATCGCTACTCGATATACTAACATCGAACAGAAAACATATTTTTATTTGCAATTATTTTACCGTATAACTAATAAAACACCATAAATCGTATGGAATTTATTGCATGCCTTTAGCGCAAAGTGCGTATGTATGTTCTACTAGCGCCTAAAAATCAAGATTCCAACGTTTTGTCGCATAAAATCGTATCTAACAATGATATTGAACATATAAATGATATAAAAAGCACATTGTCAGAAAGATAAATGATTGTTGAACTTATTAATATTTTTTTTAAATCGTATACCTAATTGCTATTTT